TCATTACCCAATTGAAAGAAGCTTGCAACCAAAGGATGAATTGTAGCATTTAAAACACGGGGATAAAAATGACGTTCAGGTTCAAACTCGCCAGTTTTAACTATTTCAGCAAATCTAGGAAATTTCTTTTTCTTCCCAATTTCTTCAATTATTATCTTTTGATCATGGTCTTTAATAGTTGTTGGAGTAAATGTTGTAATAATTGAATTATCACTATCTGTATCAGAAGAATCTTGTGATGATGTTTTGTCAAATTGATGATTACAATTTTGATTTTTGTCATTTTGACTTATTATTGAATGACCATTTTCTAGAATATTGTGTGAAAATATATTATCAGGGTCAATAGGAAGCATTTTCTATAAATAATAAAAAATAGATTAATATATAGATAATAATAATTATAACAGAATTTAACGGAATACATTTTTAGAGTATTTTTAGGCTTTAAAAAAATTTACCAATTATATTTTATTGATAATTAAAGAAAAATATTTTTTAAAAAAAAATGAATAAATTTTTTAAGGAATATTTATTAGATTATTTTATTTTATCTGATATGTCATCATTATTTAATTATTATTTATTATTGATCTTTAAAAAAATTAATCAAAATAAAAATAATGGGAAGTTCCATATCTATTTTTATAGTAACATTTATTTATAACCTATGGATTGAAAGCGTGGTTAATATGCAAATCAGTTTTATTGCAGTATTACCGTAAAATAGCACCCTCTTTTTACAGCCGTGTAACAGAAGTAGGAGTGCTATCTTTTGAGACTTTACGGTAATATACAGTATAACCCTTGTTTCATAAGAAAATTTTATTTAAAATCCGTTGAAACGAAATTACTAATTATAATAATAATTGTAATCGCATTTTTATATGTTTTCATAATAAGTCCGTTGTTGAAACAAAGGTTATACTGTATATCAAAATCGATCTACCAATTAAAGCATATAAAATTATTCGTTATAAAAAAAACTTTATAAGGTGGCTTGCTTTAGAGAAGCATTTTGTCTCCTTATAATTTGATGTTGTAGGTCTCTCGATCCTGATATTGTTGAGCTATTTATTTTTATATCAGAATTTTGTTGAAAATAGTTAGATTTTGAATACTATCCAAAGCAACTGTATATGGTATTGGTGATGTATTCATGGTTTCTTCTTCTTCTCCTGGTACCTCTTGTACTGCAGCAACTATCTCAATCATTTTGGAGATTTCTATTCTAGAGTCAATGTTGATATAGTTGCTTGCTGTGGTGATATCATTAACATTCATTTGATTAATAAGTGTTTGGACTGCATTTTCTTCATATTCTAATTCATATTCTAATTCATCTGATCCTTCAAAAATTTCTTCATTTTCTTCAATCATTTCCTCATTAGGTAGAATACCTGTTCTTTGCCAACAATGGTATATTGTATCATCAGTCACATTACACCAGGATTCTGCAGTCCAATTAATTGCATTCAAAATATTTAATTTAGGAATCTCAACACCAAGTTCTTGGTGCTCATCAAATGCTTGAATCCTATCTTGGCATAGTAATTTTCTATAATGAGCCTAGAAAAATAAGGTAAAATTATTAATATTAAAAATAAATTTACAAAAGATTAATATTATAATTACTTTAAATGATCGTATTATGCCTTGATCAATTGGCTGAAGATGAGAAGTTGTGTTTGGCGGAAGAAAATGCAATTTAATATTGCTCAACTCTTCATCTTCTTCCAATTGATGCAATGAAACATTATCTACTAATAATAAAATGTTTCTTTGCCTTTTTTGCATTTCTTGATTAAATTGTCTAATCCATGCTTGGAAAATAGAACATTGCATCCATGATGAATTATTCCAATAGTACCATACAGGAAATGATTTTTTATCAATGTTATGAATACAGCGTGGATTTTTAAATTTATAGATGAATGGTGGAGGTAACTTATGAGTTCAACTTTTGCTGTTTGAGAATTTTTTTCTAAGAATAGTTGAATAGGAACTTCTGTTTGCTGATAACAAAATTTAGCAACCAAGTAAGGAAAGTTAGTTAAGTGGCAAGTAGTAACTAGTCAATTGATATCTTTTACTAGACACCATTTACTATATAATCATTTATTATTTCGACCTTGACTAACATAAAGCAAATTTTTTTTGTCATTTTTGCCAACCAAATAATAAGGGGTGCAGTGACCTGCTAAACCTAAATTACGCCATTGACCAATTGTATAATAAGGGGTGCCTTGGTGTTGACCAATTATTTTTTTCTTGTCAACATCTATTATTTTTCCAACACTTTTAGTTAAGTAATTAGCAAGAAATTTATCAAATTTTCTTTTGCCAATAAAGCAAATGCCCGTTGAGTCTTTTTTTTTGGCGTTGACTAATTGCAAATGAAGAGCTAATTGACGAACTTCTTGCTTAGTTAAGTTAGCCAGCAGAAAAATTATTTTTTTGAAAAGCATTGGATTAACTTGGCAAAGAAAATAAGTCTGGTCTTTTTCTTTATCTTTGGGTTTGCTTAAATAATACTGTTCGTTATTAAAAACTACTTCGGTGTAGTGACCAGTAGCAATAAGGTGGGGTGAAAAATTTTTCTCAACATACTCAATAAAATAATGAAATTTAATTACTTTGTTACATAAAATATCAGGGTTAGGGGTGCGACCTTGCTTTAACTCTTGTAAAAAATCCAAAAAAACATTATTTCACATCTGTCACATTTTATATTTCTTTCTTTCATTAAACACTTAAACACAAATAAGTTGTCCATTTTTTTTGAAATTGTGTTCTTGGTTACAACCAGTGTTTGAACAGGTTGTTTTTAAACCCGCATTTGTGTCTCTATT